GACAGTGTGGGAGGCTGAGGCAGGAGAATTGCTTGAACCTGCGAGGCGAAGGTTGCAGTGAGTCGAGATTGTGTCACTGCACTCCAGCCAGACTCTGTCTTAAAAAAAAAAAAATAATAATAATAATAATAATAATGGGGACAGTGGAAAGAAAGCTGGATTTGAAAGTCATGCTGAGATTAAGTGACCATGCTTTGGTGACTGGTATTAATATGTGAGAGTACTGGAGCTGGCTCTCAGGCTCTACTTCTGTAGCAGGGTGAACTGTGGGCAAGAGAGAAACTAGAGGAAGTCTATCAGATTTGTGAAGGATGGAAATGAGTTCAGTTTTGACGGCTTGAGTTTTCATTGCCTCCAGGACATTTATATCCAGGTGGAATGACTGTCTAGCAGCCAGTTGGATGCATAGGTCTGGAACTCAGAAGAAATATTGTGGATTGTTTTATATATAATCTATGTACTAATCATTTAAATTTATAAAATAGATTATATAATAAACTACATAAATCAGTTATAAAGTTAAAATTTTTTAATCACATATTATTAGGGCTCATACTGTGTACATCATGGCTTTAGAGGGCTCCTAGTATCTTCTACAGAAGCTCCTAATTAAATGATCATCTCCAGGTTACAGGATACCTTGAATGAAGACTAACTCATCCATAACCAAAAGGGTTTGGTCTGTATTGATTCTACAGCTTGCAGCTTCAGACAGACAGACAGACAGACAGACAGACAGACAGACAGATAGATAGATAGATACTTGTTCTAGCTAAGCTCTCTGTAGTCATTTTCTTTTCTCTCCTCTGAGTTTCCATTTAAAATGTCCTATAAAATTGGGAATCATGTCCCAAATTTCTGAATAAACCTCTCCTTAAGGGAATTTTCTATTGCTCCTATTAGGTATTTATTGCTCTATAACAAATTACAAGACTCAGTAGATTAAAATAACATATTATTTCACTGATTTCATAGGTCAGGGCTCTAGGTCCTCTGCTTCAGGGTCTCTCTCACAATGCTGCCATCAAGGTGTTGGCTATGGAGGAGATCTCATCTGAAAACTCAACTTCCTAGCTGAGACAGTATTTGTTGGCCTTTAGTTTCTCATTGGACTGACAGTCTTGGCTCCTCACTAGCTGTTGGCTAGAGACTATCCTCAGATCTTTGCCATATGTACTCTCCTAAATGACAACTTGTTTTATCAAAGACTGCAAGCCTAAAATGCAATAAGGTCTGCTGACAATACAGAAATTACAATCTTTTGTAACCTAATCACAGAAAGATAGATAGTGTATCAGCTTTGCCTTATTCTATTGACTAGAAAAGGTCAGAAGCTCTAGCCCACATTCCAGAGAAGGGGATCACAGAAGGGCCTGGGCATCAGAAGGGGAGATCGCTGAGGCCATCTTAGAAGTCTGCCTACCATATAACTAATATTTACCAATCTACAAGATCAAGACAAAAAGAGGCATTAACAAAAAAATCCCAAATTTTCTGTATGGAGTTACATGATGTTATGCATGTGTAGGACCTTTAACTTGCTGGTTTCTCAATGAAAGGTAACTAATCATTAAACTTGGTGTGCTGTATGTACTGTGGAAGGTCAGGAAATGTATACTGACTGACAGAAAAATATATGAAATATAAAGTATGTTTCCATCTAATGTTTCTTGGAAACTCTAGTTGAGGCTTTCAAAAATGTATTTTTTAGCATCATTCTTCGAAAAGTACTTTTTAAAATAATTTTCAAGACTTCACAATATGTTTTTTTCTACAAATACATATTTCCCAACATCTGTAAAAGTGTAAATCTTAAGAGTATTTTATGTTGAACTTACAAATTTGGTACTGAAGACAAGTATTTCTTGTAGTCTGCCAAATTTCTGTCACATTGGAAAATACACAGATGATTGTTTAACATTCTGTGCCACTAGACAGGAATTATATTTCACATCTTAATGAGAAAATACTTTCTCTTAACTTGTTGCATTAAAAAATTAATTAGTAATTCAGCTGGGCATGGTGGCTCATGCTTGTAATTCCAGCACTTTGGGAGGCCAAGGCGGGTGGATCGCCGGGTCAGGAGTCTCAGACCAGCCTGGTCAATATAGTGAAACCTTGTCTCTACTAAAAATATATAAAATTACCTGGATGTGGTGGCACATGCCTGTTGTCCCAGTTACTTGGGAGGCTGAGGCAGGAGAATCACTTGAAGCCGGGAGGTGGAGGTTGCAGTGAGCCACTGCACTCCAGCCTGGGCAACAGAGCAAGACTCTGTCTCAAAAAAAAAAAAAAAAAAATAGTAATTCAAACCATTGTAACTACCAGCAGTCACAAAGAGATTTTCAATACCATGAACAGTGGAATCCAAAATAAATTTCAGAATATAATTTTATCATTAAAAAAAAAATCTTATTGGTTAAAAAAAAAGGAGAAAAAAAATCATAATTCCATCACCAAGAAACAACCAGTATTAAAACTTTTGGTATATATCTATGTGTATATGTATATCCTTTTAGGCATTTAAATATGTTTTATTTAAATGTTATTTAAATATGTTAAATGTGTTAAATAATATTAACACAAATGAGATACTTTGTTTTATAATGATATATGTAATTGTTCCAAAACAAAGATTTCCAGAGCAACTGATTTTCAGTGAAGCATTGCTAAACAAGTCTCCCAGCAAAGTAATACTAGCAGCAAGTTAACCAAGTGCTACACAGAGCAATGGACCAGCCCTGCATCACTGTAAAAGCTGTTATCCCCAAAGGAATGAACTATAAAACAGGTAATTGAGGGACATGTAATTTGTACCACTCTAGTAGTGTTTTAGCCATATTATATTGATCGTTCTTTTATTTCTTATCCTTCAGTGGCTTTTTATTCTGTTAGGTACCCCTCATTAAACTCCTTCCCCCAGTGTCTGAATCACTGAATTACTGTGCTTCTCAGGACAAATCTCACCTCTGATGATTCTTTCTATATCATCTTCACTAGCTTTTCTTCCCTCTTTTATCCAAACTAGTTGGCATAGCTACTAACCCACTATTTATCTTTCCTTATTTTCTCCCTCACTACCACTTATGGCCTCAAGGTTTAAATAGTCAGCTACATGCTGGAGACTATTAAAACCTTTCTCACCTCACACTTACCGTATGTAAACCAAACTCACCCACTCCCCCTCAAATTACTCACCATCTCTCCTCTTTCCCAGAACTAACATCTGGGAATTATCTTTAACTTCTCCCCTCCCTTTGTCCTATCCAGTATCTATTAAATTATGCTTCAAAATGTCTCCTACATTGGTTCACTCCTTTCCGCTTTTTTCACCTGCACTCCAACCCAGGCCAAGATTGCTTCCACAACTGCTTCCACAAATATCCTGAATGGGGTTAAGTGAAAATATCCTGAATGGAGTTGGGGCTCCTTTGCCCCCATTCCCCCACCTTCCTAGGATACTCTTATTATAATGGTGAGATAAAATTAAAGGAGAGGGGCTGGGCGCGGTGGCTCAAGCCTGTAATCCCAGCACTGTGGGAGGCCGAGGCGGGTGGATCACGAGGTCAAGAGATCGAGACCATCCTGGTCAACATGGTGAAATCCCGTCTCTACTAAAAATACAAAAAAAATTAGCTGGGCATGGTGGTGTGTGCCTGTAATCCCAGCAACTCAGGAGGCTGGGGCAGGAGAATTGCCTGAACCTGGGAGGCGGAGGTTGCGGTGAGCCGAGATCGCGCCATTGCACTCCAGCCTGGGTAACAAGAGCGAAACTAAGCCTCAAAAAAAAAAAAAAAAAAAAAAAAAAAATTAAAGGAGAAGTGGGCTTGAAATCAAGAGCCCACTCTGCCACTCCAGGTGTGAACTTGAGCGTATTTCTTTCTTCTTCGAGCCCTGGGAATTTCCTTATCTGCAAAATGGCAAGTTGGACAGCCTTCATGGGCTCTAAGCTGCCTTGCAATTCTAACAATCTTCTACTCTGACACTTCTTTGCTCAAAGAATGGCAGTGACAACCTTTTCTCTGCCAGAATCACAGCTGGTACTCAGTGTTTTCCAGCTTGCATTGTCCCTTACATCTAGACTGCTCACTTCACCATATCCCTAATGAGCCCCAGGCTTGCCACTATAAATGTCAGTTCCCTATATTATTGTTCTTCTTATTCTGTAATTACATTACTCATTTTACAAACATTTATGAAGTGACGATTAATGTACAGGGCACTTCGCTAGGTCCTGGAAATAGCGAGGTAAACCACATAATCCTTGCCCTCATAGAATTTACTCTCTCATTGGAGATATGGTTAAGTAGCTAACATATAATATGGTATTAAGTGCTATGCTGAAAAAAGTAATACATCTTAACTGTTTGGCGAGCAGAAAGGGCATCACTTAACAAGATGGGATGCCCAGGAAGACTTCAGAAAAGATGAACTAATTCCAAACTGAGTCTTTTAATCTTAAAAGGAAAAACAAGACTGAAGGAGGTGAGAAAATGTGTGCCATTTTCTCTACCTTGAAGAGCAGAGAAGGGAGGGGAATTATTATTATTTTTAAGAACAGGGTATACTGAAAAACACGAGTGTAGAGGGCAGGTGGCAAGCAGTGAGGTTGGTCATGATCAGTAGCCTTCAGTGTCACCCTAAGGAATTTGGGGTTTCACCGAGGAAAGAGTGGAGTACGAGCTGTATTCTGATTCGGATTCCTTTCCTGATCTGTTAGTGGGAAAAGGTGGTTGTTGGGCACTGAAACGGTCAAAGCCGATGACAGGATAATCCGGTAGGGGGAAATGGTGGTCTGCCAAAAATTGTTCCGGCTACTAGGTGGTCAGCTAAAACAGTTCGGTGACCGATGCCTCACGCCTCTTCAAACTAACAGGCCTCCATTAGGAGTCGGCCGCCCATCAGCGCCCGGCCGCCGCGTCACAAAGAGCAGCACCCACCAAGGAGGAAGCGGCCTGCGAAGTCGCGAGATTTCTCGTGACTGCCCCTTGGACAGAGCGTCTGGTCGCCCAGCAACCGCCGCTGGTGTGCGTAGGACCGGGCGCCGGCGGAACCGATCAAACAGGAGTTACCGACCGGACAGTCCCGCGAGCGGTGAGCGGCCCGCGGGGAATAAGCGTGGGGACCGAGGAAACCCTAGAACCATGTTTCTCAAACTTGCCTGCCAGTAAGACTTTCCTGGGACATTTGTTAAAATGATTCCTGGGCCCTATCTTTAGATATACAGAATTTTCAGAAAAAAATAGTCCGGAAGTCTGTTTTTAACAAATGGTTGGTTAACTGGCAAGATTGGAAAACAGCTCTAGAGGAGGGAGACACAGGCGGAGGGGTTGGTCGCGGGGCTGAGGCAGCAGGCCGATGGACGTGGAGCTGAGTTTGAAAAGGTTTTGAAAAGCTTGAGGGCTGGAGCCAGTGATTTAGAACATCTGGAGCCACTGAGCCTGTGGCCTAAGTGGAAATATAGATACTAACGGAATTCAGAAAACGTTGTCCACTGCTTCTAGCCTGTGGGAATCCCAGTAGAAGAAAGCCAAAGAGTCCATTAAAATGGATTCCACCCATGTCAGAAACCTGTACATGTACCTCCTGAAAGAAAAAGCGGGGGGGTGGGGGCGGGGGGGGTTGGGGGAGGTGGGGGCGGATAAAGACAAAGGAAAAAATTAAACTAAAATGGATTACTAGAGGCTGGTAAAGAAGCTCTAAGCTGTTCCCACTGGTGGCCTGGAAAAGAGAGATCCTAGTAAGAAGAGTCTCAAAGTAACAGAGATATCTAGAGAGTGGAAAGTAGGGAAAAGCAGTTTCTCAAACTTTAGAAAAAAAAATGAATATCTTTTAAAAGAAAACCAAGGATGCCTCACAAGTGCTGACATTATTTTTATTATAATGTTCTAAAATATATCCAAATCCACTCTAGGTTCAGTTTAAACTCTTGAAGCTTTTAATTTTCTAAAACAAAGTTTAAATTAATATTGTTTTTAACAAGATGAATTATTTTTAAAATAACATAAAATAGTTAATTCCGGGCCAAGTGTGGGGGCTCACGCCTGTAATCCCAGCACTTTGGGAGGCCAGGGCAGGCGGATCACGAGGTCACAAGGTCGAGACCAGCCTGGCCAATATGGTGAAACCCCGTCTCTACTAAAAATACAAAAATTAGCTGGGTAAGGTGGTGCGTGCCTGTAGCCTCAGCTACTCAGGAGGATGAGACAGAAGAATCGCTTGAATCCAGGAGGCAGAGGTTGCAGTGAGCCAAGATCGCGCCACTGCACTCCAGCCTGGCAACCAGGTGAGACTCTGTCTCAAAAAATAAAACCCAAAAAACAAAACAAAACAAACAACTACCTTTCAACCTAGCAATCCCATTTCTGGGTATATGCCCAAAGGAATATAAATCGTTCTGCCAAAAAGACATAAGCACTCATATGTTCATCACCACAGTTTTCACAACAGCAAAGACTTGGAATCAACTTAGATAACCCTCAGTGGTGGACTGATAAAGAAAATGTTGTATATACAGCTTTTTTTTTTTTTTTTTCGTCTGACATCTTAGCGAAGTTGCAGTGTTCGCTGCTGCTCTCGAGCTTCGAAATGCTGCCCGAGGACGACAAGAAAAAGAAAGATGCCGGAAAGTCGGCCAAGGAAAACAAAGACCCAGTGAACAAATCCGGGGCAAGGCCAAAAAGAAGAAGTGGTCCAAAAAGGCAAAGTTCGGGACAAGCTCAATAACTTAGCCTTGTTTGACAATGCTACCTATTACAAACTCTGTAAGGACGTTACCAGCTATAAACTTATAAACTCAGCTATGGTCTCTGAGAGACTGAAGATTTGAGGCTCCCTGGCCAGGGCAGCCCTTCAGGAGCTCCTTAGCAAAAGACTTATCAAACTCGTTTCAAAGCACAGAGCTCAAGTAATTTATACCAAAAATACCAAGGGCGGAGATGCTCCAGCTGCTGGTGAAGATGCCTGGATAGGTCCAAACTACATTTGGAAAAATAAAACTATTAAATAAAAAAAAATGTTGCATATATATATATGAAATACTGTGCTACCATTTAAAAAAAAAATGAAGTAATGTCCTTTGCAGCAACATGGATGCAGCTGGAGGCCATTATCTTAAGCAAATTAATGCAGGAAGAGAAAATCAGATTACTCCATGTTCTCATTTATTAGTGGGAGCTAAACATTCAGTACCCATGAGCACAAAGAAGGGAACAACAGACATTGGGGCCTACTTGAGGGGGGATGGTGGGAGGAGGGAGAGGGTCCTAAAACTACCTATTGGGTACTATGCTCACTACCTAGGTGACAAAATCATTTGTAAACCAAACTCCAGCAACATACAACTTACCCATGTAACAAACCTGTACATGTGCCCCTAAATCTAAAATGAAAAATTTAAAAATAAAACAAATAAAAATGAATAAATAAAAATAAAGAGGCTGGGTGCAGTGGCTAGTGCCTGTAATCCCAGCACTTTGGGAGGCCAAGTCAGGTGGATCACTTGAGGTCAGGAGTTCAAGACCAGCCTGACCAATGTGGTGAAACCCTGCCTCTAATAAAAATACAAAATTAGCTGGATATGTTGGCTCATGCCTATAATCCCAGCTACTTGGGAGGCTGAGGCAGGAGAATTGCTCAAACCTGGGAGGCAGAGGTTGCAGATTGCACCATTGCACTCTAGCCTGGGTAACAAGAGCAAAACTCAAGAAAGAAAAAGAAAAGAAAGGGAGGAAGAGAGAAAGAATGAGAGAGAGGGAGGGAGGGAGATAGAAAGAGAAAGTAAAAAGAAAGAGAGGGAGGGAGGGAGGGAAGGAAGGAAAGAAGGAAGAAAGGAAGGAAGGAAGGAAAGGAAGGGAAAATTAATTATTGGTCAAGCTCCTAATTAAGCTTAGATGAAAAAATTCCTGGCAAGGTGGCTCATGTCTATAATCTTGGCACTTTGGGAGGCCGAGGTGGGAGGACTGCTTGAAGCCAGGAGGTTGAGACCAGCCTGGGCAACATAGTAAAACTCTGTCTCTGCAAAAATAAAAAATAAAAAAATCAGCTGAGCATGGTGATGTACGCCTGCAGCACTAGCTCCTCAGGAGGCTGAGGTGGGAGAATCACTTGAGCCCAGCAGTTTGACGTTGCAGTGAGCTAAAATCACAGCACTGCACTCCAGCCTGCGCAAGAGTGAAACCCTATCTATACCAAAAATAAAAAATAAAAATATGTTATTCTGACTAAGTTTGGTTTATCCTTGGAATGTAGAAAAATTTAACATTAGAAGTCTACCAGCCTGGGCAACATCGTACAACCGTGTATCTACAAAAAATACAAAAATCAGCTGGCATGGTGGCATGAGCCTAGAGGCCCAGCTACTCGGGAGGCTGAGGTGGGAGGACTGCTTGAGTCCAGGAGGCAGAGGTTGCCATGAGCTGAGATCGCACCACTGTACTCCAGCCTGGGTGACAGAGTGAGACCTGTCCTGCACACACACACATACAAAAAGAATTATCAATGTATTTCACCATATCGCCTAATGCACAAGAAAAACATTTCATAACCATCAACATTCATTCACGATTTTTTGAAAAAAGTTTACAAACTATGAATATAAAAGCACTTTCTTAATCTGAGTCTAGCTATCTTAAAAAAAATAACAGCAAATATCATACTTAAAAAAACTTACAACAAATATGTTGTAAGTTTTAGTGGTGAAATGTTGCAAGTATTTCCTCTGAGATCAGCAGTAAGACAAGTGTATGTGCCCTCATGGCTTCTACTCAACATTGTTCCTAGAGGTCCTAGCCAGTGCAATAACTCAATAAAAAAGAAAAAAATATAAAAGGTTTGGAAAGTAGTAAACTGTCACTCATATATAATCTGATTGTCTACATGGAAAACCCAAAGACTCTATAAAATAGAATTAATGTGTCCTTACCAATGTTGCTGGATATAAAAATCAATATTTTTAAAATACTGCATTTCTATACAGTAGCTACAAATAGGAAATGCAATTTCCAAAAGAATAACATTTGCAATATCAACAAAAATATATGAT